CGCTACCACTACCACTGCCACTACTACTACTACTACTACTACTACTACTACTACTACCACACCTACTACCACTACTACTACTACTACTACTACTACTACTACTACTACTACTACTACTACTACTTCGACGACGACTACCACTACTACGACGACGACGACTTCTACTACTCTCATGACGACGACTACGAAGCCAGTAAATAAAAGTTCCTGTTCCTGAACGACACCAATTAGCCCCCACATCGTTGCATAAGCCTCAATTACACCTTGCACCCTTCGCACCGTCTTCTCGTAGTCCGAGTGCAGAATGGGCGGCGGCACGCTGCAACTTGCAGGGGCTCAAACATGCAAGACGGTGCTGCGTTCCCAGCGGAGATGCTTCGGGTTTCAGAATGCCGCTCCCAAGGCAAAATGCATGTCGAGCAGTCCTTGTACGCAGAAGTCCGTGCATATTTATATATATATATGCATATATATATATACACACACATGCAGATACATATGTATGTCTTTATTTATATGTGTACATCTGTACACGTACAAAGGTACGTACATCTCTACATATGTAGGTTTGGATGTATGCACATGGGTATAAACATAGACAGATAGACAGATAGATAGATAGATAGATAGATAGATATACATATATATAGAGGTAGACAGATAGGCAGACAGATAGATAGATGGATGAATAGTCGGGCAGAGGGGGAAGCGCGAGTCCTGACAGGTGATGTGGTGATACTTCCTTTACGCGGTAGACTTTGCAGCGCCACTGTTGTGGCTGCTTCTTAGTATGAAAGCAGTAGCTGAGCTAAGGGTTGTAGCAGTTGCTAGATGATACAAAACGTCGAAGAAGGGGCACGTGCCCAGCATCACGAATTGACAACGTTTTTGAGCGGTTGAGCTGTAGGCATCGTCGGTTGAGCTTGATATCCTGCTTCCACTGGCAGCACTTCCAAAGTCTACGGTGGCAGTTGCAATCCCTTGGCCGCACAATGAAACTACCCGAGACCTAGCTCGAGCGATCTCCTGCCTGCAAAGCGGAGTTGTGCAAACCTGCGCAGGATGCTTGGCGGGGTTAGCAATGCCGCAGCGGGAGCTGCAAGAATTCGGGGCATCAGGGTCTCACTTGCTCCATCATACTGCGAACTTACGCGGAGTCAGCCCTCCAGGATCCGTAGCAGTGGGTAGAACGACAGGTATTGTTGAGGAGGTCGAGCACTAACGTCAGCAGAGGTGGCAGAAAAGAGCAGCAGCAGCAGCAGCAGCAGCAGCAGCAGCAGCAGCAGCAGTAGAAGAACATGTAGCAGAGGCAGCAGCAGTAGCAGTGGCTGCATTCAGCGGCAGCAGCAGAAGCGATGGTAGAGTACCAAAACTGATGTGCATGTCCATCGTAGCAGATCGTAGCAGTCGTAGCACTTGTATTCTGATCTTCTGCAGCGCACCTCCTGCTCCAGGGGCTTCTCCCCTAGGCACCGCTCATCCGGGAGTATAGCCCTGGACCTCGAAGCAAACGGTTGGGGTTTAGAGATCAGGGTCGAATGCCTGTGCATGGTGCAGATGATGACATCAGCTTCATGCACTGCATGTTACATCGGAAATCTGCACAAAACCTGCCTCTACTTTCCACAGATACCCCCCGAAAGCTCAACCTGCAGAAGTCATGGAAATTCATCCACCGGGAACAAGATCTTTGCTGGGCCTGCTGTTGTAGCAGCGAACTATGCGGCTCCTACATGAGGTGAGTGCATCGGACTGTTTGATATGTGTACATACACAGGTACCTTTGTGTGTATATGTTCGGAAATGTCCACAAGGAAATGTCTATGTGTATGTGCGGGTGTATGTGTGTGTATATATACATGTGCTCACATACATACATACATACATACATACATACATACTTACATACATATACATATACATATACATATACATATACATATACATATACATATACATATACATATACATACACACACAAACAAGTACATACAGGCAAACAGACCGACAGACAGAACAACAGGCAGGCAGGCAGCCGGGCTAATAAACATGTGTATATATACACACATACATATACACATATACATACATGTACACATGTATATGCATGTGTCTTCTTTTTCTCTACTAGATCTACATATGTGTGAGATTAAGTTACAGTCATAGACATTCTGTACATATATGTACATCTGTATACATGTGCATGTATCAAACGCATGCGCTAGTACCGACAGAGGTGTCTTTGTTTGCGTATGTACAACCATGTTAAACATGTTAACCTTTCATGCACACATATACATATATATATATATACACATATGTAGTCCCACAAATTAGCCTGTATATTTGAGTGCATCCGTGAGCTGATTGCAATATCTGATTGAGATAAGCGGAAGTGCTCACCAAAACCAATCCCATAGCGTGACGGCCAAACAGCTAGGAGGGGTAGGCAGGTAGAGAGACAGCATCGCATCGTCACACTCACTGAAACAACTCGGCATCATCACAAAGATAGCAGTGTCACTCGCACTGTACCTGCACCTTTGCAAACTTCACTTGATGGTCAGGAGAACCAGAACCCTGACAGCCGAGGTCACCAACTCCGAACCAAACATAGTTAACCGCCAGAACTTGGGATGACTGTGGTCCTGCGCGCGCCTAAGGGCCTTCGACATGCCATGCCGACAAGCATTGAGACAAAATTCAGGCTGTGGCCATCCCTAAATCTTAAGCGCTGTGGCCAGGGCCCGGGATTCTATGCGAGTGTTGGTGCCTCATAACCTTGAGACCCTTCGAGAGCGGGAGGCAGCACAAAGGGTCGCAGCGTCAAGGCTTCCCGCACCATGTCTATGCATCTACAAATGTTCTCTGTGTATATATATACACACATATATACATATACACTATGTATACCCATATACCTACATATGTAAGCTATGACATATGCTGCGTCAGTCTCTTGCCTCTACATTCTGCATGTTATCTTATATTAGTGACCCCGTGTTTATATACTTCCTCCCGAAGCCCCAACAAAATGTGTCCTGACTCCTGGGAAGCCACCACAAGGCCTCCAGTGCAGGAACAGATGCGAAAGCCTCTCGGCACTTGAAGAGCCTGCGACACTCGCGGATAGCGGCAACAAATCCCGCAGGACAAGCAAGCTAAGCCGGTGACCCCTCGCACGTGCTCCACCTCAGCCAACAGTCGAAGAAGAGACGATCCCAAACAACAAACCCGGACCTCGAGCATCCTCAACTATCAAGGGAGTGTGGGTTGGCAAACCTAGAGAACAGTGTGCTTCAATTCATGAAAGTGCTGTTACTCTTACCTTGGCTGTTCTATGGTAATGTTGTCTTGCCACTATGAATACTGTGATTTTCTTGACGATCTTCATGCGCTTTGGTATTAGTAGTGCCAAAATGATGTCGGGACCAACATTGGGCCCGAGACGGAAGCGGGGCAAATTGGCATCGTATAACAGGCTCCTATGGTCTCCGGGCTACGTCGTGTCCCTGTGGGCTTTAATTTGCCTCGGGTGTGGTGGCTGGGCTGAAATAGGCTCAGGTAACCACCCAACGTAGCAACAAAGGAGGAAATCCTTAACCGGGCCCTGCAAAGGATCAAGACCCTAAGGCTGCAAAGCACTATGACCCACGCAAAGCTTAACATAGGACGCCATTGCCCTGAATATAAGGAGTCTGTGTGAGACGAATCAACTCTTGAGGCTCTTATGCTAAACCAGACGTATCATATGAACTGTCTCCAGTACTGAACAGTGTTGTGCGTCCTATACGCCTACCATGAACCATGAAGACTCGTCATAAGGGGGCTCTTGACGAAGTTCAATGTGTGCCTTGCGCCCTCATGTCTTCTACTGGTACCTTACATGATAAGCGCCAAGGCCGTAAGGACCTGATATTCCAAGTCCCCATGTTGTCACAAAAGCACGGTGCCCTCCCAAACAGCTCTCATGGTTTTTCTCCATCTTGGGGTTGTGCTCGGTCTCGATGTACTCGGCCGGATCGCTGCAGACCGGACCATCCCAGCCAGTCTTGCAGGAGCCTAACTTCAGGGCTGACAGCGGGAAAACTGAGATAAATGCGCATGACAATAACAGCCTGCACACAAAGTATACACATTTATGTGTGTATATATATATATGTACACATATTCTGTATGCATGTAGACATGCATGCATGCATACATACCTTTGCTACCCCCCTTTTCGAACGAACCCCGAGTTAAAGAACCACGAAGCTTTCGTCCGTCGAATGCTGCTGTCGTGCTCTCGCTCCAAAACCTAATGCCATACAGGATCGTCAAACTTATCGACATGGTTTAGGCGCATACCAGTGCCTCCATTGAGATTTCACCTCGTGAACCATTGCTGACAATTCGCACGCTCTTTGGATCTCTTTGGTCTACACCCGATATGCATCCTACGATCCTACAACGTTTACCATGACCGCTGTTCCGAAACCTGATCCCAGCAGCTTGCTCTGAGCACTGTGCATGTGCCGTCGCCTTCCCTTCCTTCATTGCAGCCCCAGGATCCTTCCTGCGAGGCAACAGCAGGACACTATCCGCCAATACTGACAACCCACAACAGCAGCATTGAGGGTTTAGGGTTTAGGAGTTTAGGGTTTAGGGTTTAGATGAGACCTGCTGGCCGGGTTACCGTTGATGTTCACTCCTTGTGATCATGTCCCGGCCTCTAGAACTGGGGTTTCAAGGCTCATGGGGTCGTTTTGCACCCCAATTTGATGGCTGTTGGGCTTCGGCTGCGGGCTTTAGGCCCGAGGAGAAGATGTTTTTGGCTTAGACGCAGTTGTGGTAGGGTGTTGCACAGTATGAGCACCAGCTTGAGAACTGAGCTCCCCACGAGGCTGCAGCGAGGGCAGGAAACCGAGCAGGTTTCCCCGTACCAGTTGGGCTTGCACTGGCAGTAGCCCTGGCAAAGTGGGCCCTGAAACCGGCTGGCACTTGCACAGAGCAGAAAGGCTTCATGAACTCCTCCTGCAAAGTGTCCCACTTGGTCACATGGTCCCGAAGAAGCTAAGAACCGAAGCATGTCGCTCAAGACCTGGCACCCCTAAGTAAAGGCTTCTGAACCAAGGAATCCATGCCAGCGTACATCGCCATCACATTCCCCTTGGACGCAGTTGAGACCTGCAAATGTGGGAGTGTACCGTGTGTTTGTGCAAAAACAGCAATCAGAACTGTATTGACAACACCACTACCAGCGGCAGTACCATTCCGTTGCAGTTGTTGCCGGTACTGTTACCACCTCAATAGCAACAACTACCACTGCTGCACTATCTATGGCAAGGCAGCAAACTCTGGCTATTGGAATGGCAACAAGCTGGCCCGAGGCGGTGCAGGCTGGTTCGAGGATTTGCACTTCTGCCCGCTCAATTCCAACATCTTGAATGCCTGAACCAGCCATCAAACTTTGTTTGGACTTTGCTGGCGGATTTCAATACCCGAAACTCTTCACCGATTTGCAAGGCCGCGGTCCTGAGTCAGGCAGGTTCCGAATGACCTACGAAGTAGTTCCGAAGTTGGGAACGAATATATACAGCACTATTGGTGATCCAGCAAATGGCAGACAGGTGCAAGCCCTGCAGTATAAAGATTCCTTACAGAATCTTCCAATGCTTGCTGAATGACAGTTTCCGGCGTGTGCTGGTATCGGATTGGTGCTCTCCCCTGCTGCCTATGAAGCATCGGCGCGAGCACTCTCCAGGCGGATAATAGTCCTGCTGAAACTCCAGAAATCAGAGTGTGACCAACGCATGACCGATTTTATGGTAGGTCGAGACATGTCGAGAAGCGACAGAAGCGATCTCGGTAGCTCACGAAACTGACAGAAACTGACACAATGGAGCCTGGATCCTGTATTGGAGCTCTGTTAAGTCTCTATGCTTCTCCAGGTTGTCGTACCACTAGCACGTCTTCCAGGAGCTTTCTGAATGCCAGAACGACCTGTTGCCACAATAAGTCGCGAGCATCACAGGAGCGATACTACTAGCTATCGAGACTTCGCAAATGAAGCTTGAATTGAGTATCGCCGTCACTCGAGCTCTAGACTTCTAAGCCCCAGCCCTCGTCCTGCTCGCACTGATCGCAGTTGGCACCTCTCCGGCCTGAACATTTGGCACCAAACGCTCCCTGCAAATATGCAAACAAAAGCGGGGGCAAATGCACTCAGCAGAAGGCAACACTAGATGCTGGCACGCTCTCATGTGCCCATTCTCCTGCGTTATTGAGAGCGCACCACACCACCATCATGACTCACAACCGCCGCTCTCATTGAAAGCTACGTGTGCTTTTGAGAGGACATGAGACCGATCGTCTCGTGGTCTTGTACAAAAGACAAGGATGGGCACCTGTGGAAGGGGGCCAACAAAAAAGGCCATTGGTGTCACATGACAAACGGCAGGGAGCCATTGAGAGTGTATCTTAATCCGCGGAAATGCAGGGCCTGCATCGCACACACAGGTGCCAAAGTCAGAGCACTCACCTGAGCGGAACTGCAATCTCACAGGCACGCGGTGGCACATCAGCATGTGCAGACTGCTGCAACTACTCCGACTCCCCCTCTTCCTTCTGCTGTTGCTGCTACTTCTACCACTACTACTCCAACTACTACTGCTACTACTACTACTACTACTACTACTACTACTTCTACTACTACGACTACTACTACTACTACTACTACTACTACTACTACTACTACTGCTACTACTGCCTCTGCTACAACTACTGCTACTGCTACGACTACCACTGCCA